AGATCACGACCTGAGCCGAAGTCGGATGCTCAACCGACGGAGCCGCCCACGTGCCCGACGAGGGCCGTAGTTTTGTGCGAGGGGGGAGGGTGTGCTCCCGGGGCTCTTGGTCACTCAGAACTAGTTTTCCCAAAGAAATTGGCTTATTTGGTGACTATTTACTGAACACTGTGTTCTAGGTGCTGGGGAGAGGGTGTGGGGACAGGCCGGGTCCCTGCCTTTCTGACACATCCCAGAAGGAAATGAAACCGGACTGGGGATAGAGTAAGTCGGGAGAGTGGCTTTCCGCAGTGGCTCCGTGAAGGGCTCTTCGAGAAGGTCGCGTTAGGGCTGGAACCTTTCTGATAGGAGGGAGCTGCCCAGGGAAGGATCTGAGGAGTGGATAGTTCTCCCACAACCTTTGCCAGAGTAGTTACAGTCAAGCCTGACGGCCCCCCATTTCTGTTGTCTCTGTGAGGTAAGGCGCAAAGTGGGGGACACCCACCACGGTTGGGAAGGCGGCTTGAACTGGAAAAGGTTTGGGGAAGAGAAGTCACCAGTAAGAGCATCACGGGAGAGCAGCATCGAGGATCTGGCCAGGATTGCACAGCAGAACGTGTGAGGCCACCACGTCCTGGCCCGGCTTGTGGTTTTGCCAGGGCGCAGGCCCGTCCCGCCCTGGGAAGACAGGGGACCCGTGGCCATCGTACCCATTGCCTGCACGGTCCCCCTTCCTTTCCTCCCTGGTCCAGTGGGCTGCAGGGGGCTGGGGGGAATAAGGGAGCGAAGGAGGGAGGTGGGTCGCGATGTGAGATGTCCGATGTCACCTGTCAGATCGCCAGCTGACATCTCAGATTTGAGCAGGGGTCAGTGTCGGCTGCTGTCTGGTGCTGGAAACGCGACACCGGGGGTGCAGGGAGCTGCAGTGTGGAAGGGAGCCAGCCGCCTTTCCTGCCAGCCTCTTCACCTTGATTCCCCGCCTCCGACCTCCTCGCAGCTTCCTACGAGTGGGAGAGAGGAGGGACATTCAAAGGGGAAGAAGATTCTGGGTAAAAGGGAAGGAATCGAAGAAAGGACACCTGAGTTCCTCTGTAGTCCTTCCTTGCCGTGATTCTAAGAGTTTGCAAGTGTCTTTTATCAAGTAAGTTTGATTTTTTTTTTTTTCCCCAGCTAAACTCAGGGACAACCTGAGCGAGGTCTGGATTTCTTTTCCAAGCGCGGCCCCCCCTTGGTCTTTAGAGAAGGACAAGCTGAGTTCATCTCGAACCAGTGAGGTCCCAGTGGAGCTCAGAATTTGGGACAGTCGTGTCTGCGGTTAGTGGGGTGGAGGAAGGGCTCCCACCAGCGACAAGCTGGAGCACTTGACCTTCAAGAATCCTAGTAAGAGGGGCGCCTGGGCGGCTCAGTCAGCTAAGCGTCTGGCTTTAGCTCCGGTCACGATCTCCTGGCTCGTGAGTTTGAGCCCCATGTCGTGGAGCCTGCTTGGGACCCTCTGTCTCCCTCTCTCTCTCTGCCCCTCCCCGCTCTCTCTCTCTCAAAATAAATACATAAACTTAAAGGATCCAGTAAGAAAGTGGGGCTGCGGGTATCCACGAGGGTGAGGAAGATGTCCTTGGCGTTGGGATTCACCAGTGGGTGGGGATTGAGCAGCTGAGATGCAGACACTGTAGGGAGTTGGGAGCGACCTTTTGGACGCGTTTCTGGAGACCGGTGGTAACGCACATTCACGTGAGTGAGTTACGTTGCCAACAGGCTTAGTTAAGTCATTTCCTTGTATCTTCGTCGAATGTACCCTCCCCGACCTCCCGCCTCCTCAGGTCACATATCTTCATCCTCTCTCCTAGTAGAACCATCTGAAACCTGTAAATGCCTCCTCTGCTGCTGGTTTAGCTCACCTCACACGCGCCTTTTGATGCGTGGTATTTTTATTCACCAGCCTTAGATATTTTCTGTTTTCCGTTACGATTTCTTGTCCAACCTGTGAACCACCTAAAAGGAGACTTTAAAAATTTCACAAGGCGGGTTTCTAAGTTGTCTTTTTATTACTGATTTTTAAACTGCATGCATTGAAAAGAATACGGTTCACATAATACCGTTCCTTGTTTTTTGTGGAGACTGGCTGTGTGCCTTGTGTATCGTCAGTTTCGATGAGCGTTTTCTGGGCCTGGCGAGAGCGTTAATTCTGTTATTGTTCGGTGGGGGGTTCTGTGTGTGGCCCTTGGACTAAGCTTTTTAATTCTGTCTAAATCTTCCTTACTAGTTTTTGTCTGTTTTGTTTATTAATTCCTGAGAAGTGTCTTAAGATCCTCCGGTGTGTTTTATCAACCAAGCCTACATCCCTAACCAATATAGTGTAGTTTTTGCTCTTTACGAACTTGTACCTGAACGAATCCCATAGGAGATGGTCTTTGTGTCTGTTCTTCACTCAGCATCACATTTTTAAGGTTCATCTGTATTGCTTTGCGTTGGTATAATGCAGAAGTTCTCAAAGCACGGCCTGTGGACCCTCAGGGTCTCCCTAAGACTGTTCCAGTGGATGAGTTACAATGGCTCTCGTGATTATTTGAAGACGTTACTTGCCCCTTTCACTGTCAATGTTGGTACTGAAGGTACAGAAGCGATGGTGGGGGAAGGCAGTGACTCCAGACTGTGCTAGCAGTCATTATAATCCAGTGTCGCATGAGGCTGCCCTTGAGAAAGCAGGAGAAATCATTGATTTTATGAAATGTCAACCCTGGAGTCTTTTGAATATACCACGCGATGGGGTGGTAAAGCATGCATAAAACACTTCCATACTGAACCGCGGGGAAAGGCAGGGGCGTAGTTCTATGGGTTGCAAACCGAACTCGCTATTTTTTTTTTTAAGAGTGCACAATTTTTATCTGATAGAGTGACTGTGACTCACAGATAAGCCACCGTTACTCAAACTGGGGTGTTCAGCAGACACATTTAGAGAAATGAACAAAGCGGCCCCGTCCCTTCAGACGGAACAATTGATCATCTTTGTTGCCAATGCCAGAATCTGAGTTTTCGCATGAAAATTCGGATTTGGGGAAACTCCCGTTTACCCCTGTGGACGTGACGGCCTGTCAGCACTTGCAACCCTTTCCGATGAGACAGAGGGCGATATTAATGACAGATTTTTTTTCCCAATGGCGTACGATGAAATGGCATCATCTGGAAGGCCATCATAACTCGCTGAGCCAGCGTTTTCCAAATGATGTGTACATAGTTACAGAATCACGGATGGGTTAAAGATTCTTTCGACAGGCAAGATAAGCTGTTGGATTTTGACGTAAGGAACAGGATGCAAGTTCGTCGATAGGGATACGTGTGCCACGTTGCGTCTGATCTTGAAGAAATTCTCACTTGTCGAGTCTCGGGGTAGCATCCAGGGGGAGTCGCCACGGTAACTGGGAAAGGCAGTTAAACTCCGGCTCTCTTTCCCAAACCAGCTATGTGTGTGAGGCTAATTTTCTTCATTTGCTCCAACCGACACAACATAGCACCACAGATTGAATGCGAAAACAGATTTGAAAACCGAGCCACTTTCTCTGGAGCCAGACAATCAGAAGATTTGCAAAAATGGAAAGCAGCACCACCTTCTCACTTTCGTTTTGGAAAACGTAAGGTTATTTTCGTAAGAGACGTTGTTGATGTTAACAAGTATCGTTATTTTAAAACGAGATTTATTTTAAGATGGGT